GAAAGAGGGGAAGATCAGGAAGGCCACCCCCCCCGCCTATGTCCCTTCCCCCCGGCAAACGCGGAAAGGGGGAGGGGGGGGGGGCGCATTCAAGTTTTGTATGCCTTAGATGTTAGGCCATTGACCAAGCGTCCTCGAGTAAGGGGGGGGGGGGGGTGCACTCATGTCGTGCATGCCGTAGTCGTTACACCATTGACCTCGCATCCCTACAAAGCCGGGACGGAGCACGCCGGGTTATCACCGAACCAGGCTCTCGCATCACCAAGCGCGGAGCGCCTTGAGGTATTTGGCGAGTCGCATGAAGGGTGAGCTGCATCCTGCGAAGGGTGTTCGGCAATTTGTGCTTACTTCCTTGCGTACGGATGACAGCTGCGTATGACTTAATTTATTTTCTGGTGCTTTCACTTCCAGAGACAGTTGTAAGCACTGTGTAACTGCCTCGAGGATGCTTGACCATTTTAACGCAACGTGGTGCGATCATCCCCCTTGCGCGGAGTGAGGGGGGGGGGGGCATTACGTTGTTTTCTCTCTCGATTCTTGTACATGTACGTCGGAATGGTGCTTGTGCAGGAGTTGTCCGAATACCTACTTAGACGAGGCGACAACTTAGGCAGCATTAATGCATGTATACCCGGCTCCTCAAAAATTGTGTTGGGAGGCAGGGGCGTTGGCCACGGAACGAAACCGCGTCCGGGGGCTTGCACGTGTGGCGGATCACAAAATAGCAAGCTGCTGCCGTGGAGGAGACGAGACAATAACGCCGCCCCACAAACACGCTCAACCAACCAACCGACCGCTTCGGACACCTAGCAGTGGCACCGCTTCGGACACCCAGCAGTGGCACCGCGTGGGAGGCACTCATCTAGGATCGTGCTATAATAGCGTTGATGTCCAACTTAGCCGGGTCGCAACCATACCGTCGTGCCGAATGTTGCGATACGGAAGTTCTAACCCGCTGGGTCTCACCCACGGTTTCGGACAACTACAGCAGTTATCTTTGCCAATACCGAAATATGAAGCTTTGCGAGACCCTAGATCCCCAACGAGGTCTTCCCAGCGCGTCCCTTTGTCGGACACAGGAGGTTACGTGCCTGTGGTGGCGATATCGAGCTTAGAAAATCGACTCTACATGGACGGACAGGATCTGTTTACGCGCAGCAGCAGCAAGCGTGGACCGTTGGTTCAAGCGGAGTCCATCAACATCCTCAACCCGCATGTATCCAGTACTGTTACATACCATACTATACCTAGAACTTCGGTAGAATGTGGCCGACCCCCAACAGCAACCAGCGTCAACTCCCCGTCCCGAAAATTAGAGAGTTGCTGCAAGTTGCAGAGTTGCTACAAGTTGACAAGTTGCAGTTGACCTTGCGGGTCGTCGCGTGCAATGGTGCTGGATACTGGGATACCCAACAAGAACAAATTCGCTTCCTCCCGGAGGGGCACCCCCCGGCCTGCTGCATCGCCTGCCTCAAGAGTATTTTACCTGGAGCGCGAGCCCTCTCTTGAAGGCGCCGGAGGCCCACTGGTTGGTTTCGGGCTTCTTGTTGAGCTCGAAGCTCTCCCTCTCCTTCCGCTTGTACTCCTCCGGCGGCTTGGAGGGGCCCATGACTCCCCCGCCGCTGCTGCTTGCGCTGGCTCTGGCGACGAAGTCGTCTTCGGCCGCCTTGTCCATCATCTCCGTCACGCTCGGTACCTTCTGCTGCTCCGTCTCGGGCATCGGCCCCGCCACCGCCGGCTTGCTCTCGTCGTCGCCGGACATGCGGAGGGCTCTACTTCTCCCCAAGGCGGAGAGCTGGTTGTTGCGCGGGGCATGACCGCAGGAGGCCTGATATGCGGTGCTGCGCGTGCTCGTTGTAGTAGCGGGCGAAGCAGCACCAAGGAACGCCTGCGTGCCGCGGCATCCCAGCAGTCCCACCCATGCTCCAAGCGCCACGCAACCAGGGGAACGCATCGTAGAGCAGCAAGTTATTGAGGGTGTATATACCTGTCGGCGTTGGTGTTGGTGTTGTGTATGGAGAGGGCCAGAGAGGGCACAAGCTGGGCGGCGCGATTCAAAGAGTCAAGTTGAATTGCGGCGGATTTTGGAACCAGGATAAATTGGGGGGGCACGCACATTAATATTTCTCATGATACATCCTCCCCACCCTTCCCGCTCCCAGAGAAGGAGGGACAGGTCGCTGCCCGTCACACACGTGTTGGCATTTGCTACCGAGTCATGTGGTCACGCCCGTTGTCTGCCCTACTTTCCACCTTCCTTTGGTCCACACAGGCCTTCCTTGTGCCCCTTTTCGCGACAGGCAGAGGAGAAATTCGATGCCGTTCGCCAGGATATCCGCAGCAGCAGGTATGCATGCATCAAGCATACGTGCGTGTCGGACTTGTACCGTCTGTCGTCTTTCACGTTCGATGTGTGGGCCTCGAGACTGCTGTGGGGACACAGCCAGAGGCAGCAGAGCCATTGACAGCACTTTGATGCGTATCTCTATACATTTTTTCGAGAAAAGTTTGTGCTTTGTGTCGGCGCCGTAAACGATTGCTGCGCGTAATAGGAAGTGGAGGCACTGGCTCTTTCTTCGGCCGTGTAGGTGATGGATCATGTTGTTTGCAACCCCCCACGGTAACTCGCATGTGACACATGCAGTTGGTCACAGAAGTGCTGCTGCGCTCGCGGGGTTGTATGGTTCCAGTGGAATAACCGAACAGGTCGATATCGTACAGTGGGAAGGGAGATAACTGTTGTGAGACGCCGAAGACACCACCCACCAACACCAGCACAGCAAAAGTAGGAGAGGTACGTTCACACGACTTCTTCTACTCGTTGTCTTCAAGTTATTTTACAGAGTACACAGCAGTACCCCAGAGCAATCACCTAGAGCAGCAGTGACTGCGTGTAGGTAAGCTACGGCAACGTAAGGAAGCAACTGGCATATATTTGACTGAGTTTTTCTGGTGTGCAGCGTGTAAGACTTCAACTCTGGAGCCACTTACAACTCATCCGGATCGGCGTAACATCTACCCCACGTGCAAACACCCCCCCCACACCTAACAGCCACCGGCCCAAGGCCGTCGACCTACAATCGCCGCCGCGACCCGGGGACAACGACAAGAACGAACATCGGCGACCTCGGCCATGTCCGACAACACCGGCAGCTGCGATAGGAAGGGCTTCCTGTCAGACCTCACGCGCAACGTGGCAGGCGCTGGCCTCGCCGCCATCACCCTGGGCCCGAACATGGCGGTTGCAAAGCAGGTGCGAAACACGTGAATCTCGGCCTGTGGCTGGTGACCACAGCGATCGATCAACACAGGCTGATTCAACGTTGGCTGCAGAAGTTCGACGACGGCGCGGAAAGCATCGGAAGTTGTTGCCGGACGGGCGGAGCATGCAATAACGGTTTTGTGCCATAAGGCGCTCTGCAAGTACACGTTGGTGTATGCATGCATGGCGGTAGCTTTGCGTTCGCGGAGTAGTACGTCGAGTTCTCCGAACATTCAGCCGGGTAGGCGTGTTGGAAGTTCCCCCCGTCACCGACGTTGTTTTCATATCCGATCATAGCGCACGGATTAAAGACTACTACTGTTGTTGCACCCAGGAGCATGTAGATCCCCCACAGGTGTTCTTTTTCTCCTTGTGTTGTTTTGTCGCGTTGGACTTGCTGTTTTTTGCAGCGACGAGCATCACATATGTTGAACGTGATGGTTTCCGCTCTTTGGGTACGAGGAGGGGAAATAGGAACGGAGGCACGTAGTGCATGGGGGTGGGTGGGCTACTGCAGCCAATGTGTGCGGTGTTGAAGGTCGTGTGGAAACAAACTCTCCTTTCCCACTCGTCCTCTGTTTCGCGCTTCCCACGTACATCACTCCGCCCCGCGAACGAAAACACTAGTGAATGTGGGTGTACTTCCCCCACACTTTCATACTCCGCGCAACAACCCCGTGTGGTTGCACGTTTGTGACGTAACCCCAACTCGTGTGACGACGCGTTGTCCTTGACCCTCGCTCTGGGGCGGCGAAACGAGACAGGCGGCGGACTCTCCGGTTGACTGGACGGCCGAGTTCGGATCCGTGAAGAAGGCCACTGACCTGGTGCTGAAGGACCTCAAGACCCTCGCCACGGACGGAGATTGGGAGCAGCTGATGGAACAGGCCAAGGGCTACGACCAGTCCATTCGAAAAGGGTAAGGGGTTCTCGAGCGCGCGCATGTGTATGGACGGGGGGACTGGCTGTGCAAAGAAAGTTAGGTTTAGTACGAAAAGGACCAGACAGGGGGCACGCAGACCCTAACCCTGACCCCCAACTTGCCGATTCTATGCTTTTTCCATTATGTTTGCTTACGTAGAAAAACCTGCGTAGACTACTGGGGCGGGAGGTTGTTTAACAAGGTGCGAAGCTCCCACAGAGGGGGCTGTTGGGTAGTGGGAGCTAGTCGTCAGAGGTGCGAAGACAAAGGTTGACTCGGGACCTTGTGGTTAACAAGTGGAAGAGGGCAGGCGGCCCCACGCACGGCAGCACGGGGATCGCCCTTCTACATACACATTATACACAGAACCCCCGGGATCTACGCGGACCCGTATCTAGTGCTGAGTACATCAAGCAGAGGCGGCGGCCCCCCGGGCGTTCTCTCACACGACGGAGCGGGCCTGACCTGCCCGCCGTGGGTGTCCGAAAGAGGAAGACGTCAAAAAACATGCCGCGAGGCAGCAGGCGGTTCCCACAGTGCTAGCTTATTTTCGGGGGAGGCGGCGTGCTCGTTAGCCCGTCGCCTTTTCCCTCAGGAGGAGATGAGGATGGAGAAGACCGAATGACGGGAACGAATCACTTGCCCGGAAATTGTAGAACTTTTCTTTGTGGGGCAGCGGAATGGCTAGGGGTTTGCTGGCGTTACATTTTTTTTTCCGGGGGGGGAGAGGGGAAAACCACCTCTCGAGTGAGTTGGGGGGAAAGAGGAGGAAACACGCCCGTGTCATCCGTGTGGGCATGACGCACGAATGCCCTCGGAAACCACTGAGCGTTGTGGCCCAAGCCTCCTGAAGAATGGCGCCGCTCCGCTACGAATTTGCCTTTCACGCTGCTACTGCGCTGGGCACAAGACTCCTTGATAACGAGCCCTGCTTCAGTGTTGAGTGCCCAAGGACTCTACACTTGGGCACAGCCTAGACTTTCCTTTGGAGACGTTTGGCCAGACCTCCTCTCTGGTATGGTTGTGTCAGCAATTCGCTCATTTGTAGGTTCCCTCCTTTTACGTTCGTGGGGCGTGTCGTTTCCTTTCTGCGGGTTATTTGCAACGGTGGTATTGTGTGACGGTGTTTTCATGCTCCACTGCATGGTTGATTGAAGAACGCTCAAGTTCTGTTCCTCACCCCCAGGAACGGCTTCTTCGCCCCCCAGCTGGCTACTGAAGCTTGCAAAGCCCCGCCACCACGCTTGCAGAGCACCCCCTCCTGGTGGTCTTCACCCGACGCGCTGCTTCCTTGTCGTTGACGTGCGGCAACGCTTCCGTCCGAAGTAGGCCGATTCAACGCCCAACATGAAGCCGCCATCAGCGTCATCCTTAGCCGTCCCGCTACTACTTACTAGTTGATGGAGCCGACGTCCGCAAAAGAATATGTTCCACCCGCCAAGCACGCTGCAAGGGGTGCACACCCTTCGGCTCTCGCAAATTCGCCGGAGGCCCGACAAGCCGCTGGCTTGTTGGGGCCCGAACCGATGACGCACCCCCCTCACACGACCGTTCTTTCCGGGCTGATGGGGAACGTGCGTAAGAAGATGGCTTGTTGGACCTGAACCGGCAACACGCCCCGCCCCATTTCGATAGGATACATAGATTAGGGAAGACATTTTTGAGCCACCTTTGGCAAAGTAGGAAGGAACGATTGGCCATCGGTGATCGGTCCTGTGGGAACGGTGCTCCGTCCTCTCGAGGCCGCGTGGTCAATGGTCTAACCTCTAAGGCATGCAAAACATAAGAGTACGCCCCCCCCCCCCGCATTTCTCTTTCGCGCGATCGTTCTTTGCAGGCTGATGGGGGACGTGCGCAAGAAGATGCCCAAGGAGATCAAGGGCGACGCCATGACCTACCGAAACAACATCACGTTCGACCTCATCGCCATCAACAAGGCGGCCAGGGTGGAGGACAGGCCAAGAACTTTCGAGGTGAGGACAAACCGCAGAGATGGCACTCCCCTATAGACCGAGTTCGATTGCTCCGGGACCAAGCCCGTGCCAACACGAAAAATGGTGGTTTTGGAAACATCCTCATCGAGGGCTTTCCGTTAACGTGTCGGGGCTCTTTCCGCACCGACGTAGTTCTGGAGCAACCGGGCTTTGAAAGTCAGTCTAGGCGGTGTGCCATCTCTCCCCCTCTGGCGGTATACACGTGCCAACACGAAGACTCGTGAATACTCGGTGTCTCAGTTTCGATCTCAAGATGGGGAGTGGAAATGCCGAACTTTTTGGTATTTCGTCCTTGAGATATTATTTTTCCCGTGGTATTGTGTTCGGAAGGAGCCGGCCAAAGCATGCGAACGTGCGTTCTACTTGCCCGTCATGCCGCAATTGATGGCGCTTGTCACACACCCCTACCATCTTTTGTCTAGGGCTGTCGACCTGGGCCGTCCTACCCTGACCTTCGCAACCATTTTTTTTTTTTTTTTTTGTTCTTCACTTCAAATCAGCGCTCACAGCACTAGTGCCGTTTATTCCAACCCGTGGTCACACAGAAGAGCCTCTCTCTACCCTCCCCTCCTGCGGTACTTCGCCTTCAATTTTTAATGCGAGAAGAGTTCAGCACTCTCTTCCCTCTGTCCCTCGATGGCACACCCGCCGTAGCCTATGCGCCAGCTTTGGCGATACAGCTTGTCGAGCTGATGCACTTGGGCGTTGGACGTAAAACTTGGAAGTGACTCCCTACCCTCTGCCCCGGCCTGATCTCAGTGCTCCCGTTGGCATCTGTCCTTATTTTCTGTCCTTCTGTCTTCGGTCGTTTTGTTGCTGCACGTCTTGTTTCGCCCCGCGCTCCGTAAAAAACGAAGGTTTTGGACATTTTGGAGGCGGACATCAATGGCTTCCTCAACTTGCAAAAGCGGATATAGACTACTTGCCGTTCTATCGTCGTGGGCGTCTGTCTCAGCGGATATTTTTTCTTCTGCACTGTATCCCCCCCTCTGTTTCTGTTCACGGGAGAGTCGATACGGTAGACGCTGGCGGGTGAAAATCCCGGGGACACAAAATCGGGGGGACTCCGGAACCTAGAAATCGTTTATCAGGGTATCGTCCCGTGTCCGTGTGCTCATTGGTCGAACGGCGAGCGCAGTCGGTGCTAGAAACAAACGGGGTTTTCGCTGTTCGCAGCGGTGCAGGTGCACGCACCCTTAGCTCCTCTATTTGTGATTCGAGGTTGGTGTTCCCAACTTTGCCGGCGGCGCTTAGCGTTGTTTGCCGGATTGCACCACCCATCCGTGCGCTCCCATCTTGAGGTTTCTGGTGCGCAAGACATAGATCAGCCGTGGCCAAAGGTGGCGTTGCGTCCATCTACAAATGGATGCCCTTAGGCGGCTAGATGGTAATTGCGGGTTTATTTTCATCCCCCACGAGGATGACGAAGCCCCGCCACACGCTCGGCGTTGATTTTTGCTTAAAGGTGTAGTAGGTCTTGCTCCTCCCCTTCCTTTTGGTGGGGTACCGATAAGGCGGCTCAACGACCAACAACGCACAACTCAGGGTCTGCAACAGAGCTGCTGGACAAAATGCTATGCTTCCGCTACCTGCGGCATTCTGGCGTTTGAACCCCAGCTCTGACGGTGTCATACGAGACTTTGTTGTCCTTGATCTTATTTTTGGTGTGGCGAGTTAAGGCCGTGACCATTGAGGGTTTCGAAGCTTGGTTGGTCCTGTAGTGGCGCCGTTAGCCAGAGCAGACAAAAAACCGCGCCCGCCCGTCTTACATGAGGAAAATATGTCTACCATATCCAATGAAATCACGGCAGCCCAGCTTCGTTTCCCCTCCCGTCCGACATGCCTACTCCTGGCGCGAAATTCCCGCAATGTCAGATGATGGCGCTAGTGGTAATGTCTTCCCCGCCAACCCCGTCTGCAAGGCGGCCTCCCCCTCTGCTGGGTTTCCCTCGGGATTTTCACCGCTGTCGCCGCTCGTAGGGTCTCCGCCGCCTTCCTCCGCAGCCACCGCTGCACCAGCGCCCTTCATGTTGATCTCTGGGGAGAGGAGCCTCCTTAGAACGACCTGAACAACCGCGGAGGACACGCGATATGGGTAATGTGTGAAGTTGGTTTGATGGGTAGGTGAAGAAATTGAGGTATAGACTCGTTTTTTGAGGGGCGCGGGGAACGCGCAACACGCACATGTTTCCAACAGATGCATCGTCAGGCAATAGCCGTCGGCTCTGTAGGCACTCTGGGATATAGCCCTAGAAGTTTTGATCTTCTTGTTGGGTGCTGCGGCTCGGGACGAAGGAGCGTTCTGCAGGCCCTTCCACTGCAAAAAAAAAACGTAAGGTATAATATACTATTACATGCCGCCCAGTCTACGAATCAAAGGAGAGATAGGCTCTACTACGAATACTTCATAGTGTAAGACAAAGAGCAAAGAGTACCATGGGCAATATTGCGGCAGTTTCTAGCGCTGCTCAGTTGCTTTGGCAACATCCAACACAAGGGGCAACGGGGAGGTAGGCAGCGAGCACCCCGCGTGGTTTCGATGGCAGACTAAGGGATTCACCTGCTACGTGCATCCTGCGAGATGGCCTTTTTTGCAACCTCAACGGTATAGTCGAAATGGTGTGATCGTAGAATCGGCTTATACTGTCGCTATCAGGGCAGTCTATTCAACAAGAAAGGTTGAGTACTGTGAAACATCGCATGGTTGCTATTGGTTTAACGTCAAGAACATATCCTTCTCCGAACCCGCCGGAGAACCTTTCTGCGAATGCTGGCAGTCGCGCCATAAACCAACTACCTCCCCTGACCTTGCTGGCGTGTGGCAGGAATGCAGGGAAGACAAGCTTGAAACGAATCAGCAGGTCGCCTCGGGACCCCGGGTTTTTGCTGATGGGCATGCCCTCCCCCTCTAGGCGCCGCTCGTAGCCGGGGCTCACGACCTCCGGGCACGGCAGCCGCAGCACGCGCCCGTCGAGAGTCGGGACCTGAGACGAAAGAACCAAAAAACACAAACGTGTTGATCAAGAGCAGGACATTCATTTAGTCTATGTCCTGATGATCGCAGTATGCTTACATAGGTTGATTTCTGGTGACGTGCGTGTTATTTATTATATCACAGGAGCAGAGTCACAGGGCAATCGTGTCTGTATGAGAGCTTTTGTTATGGGAAGCGACGTGCGTCGTTCGTAAACAACAACACGATGCCTGTGCGCACTCTAGAAAGCGTTCTTGGTGTTTCCTTCTTGTGCCACTGCGATGGTGGTTCTTCACTGCTCAGTCCATGGGCGGGCTCAATGAATTATGACGCATGCCCCCAGGGAGACGCGCACACCTCGATGATGCAGTCCGTCAAAGCGTCGGCGAGCGACAGCATGGACGTGTAGATCAAGTCGTTCCCCTCGCGAGAGAAGTACTCGTGAGGCCTGCGTCGACGATGATACAGAATGTGACAGTGAAAATGTGAGAGCGAAAACATTGGCCCACGATTCTCTCAGGAAGATATTTACATACAACCGATAACGCGGAAAACAATCGAAATCTGCTGCAGTAAAGGGCCCTCAATGACGCCAGTTTGTGCCCCGCGAATCGACAGGCGCTATTCAAAGGGACCTGTGCTGTTCAAAGTACAGAATGTCTCGGTCATTCAGCCTTCGACCAGCAATTCCACCGGCACTATACAGGGTCACCAGCGTAATTCAACCGGCGTCGTTGAGGGCCCATTAATTTAACCCCATTTTCCCGTTACTGTGCCGCCTTTACACATTTAAAAAAAGTTGACAGTACCAGTTCATTCTTTGCCACGGCGCAACCGGACGCATACATGCATGAGGCTGGGGGTAGCTCGGGAACGCGATGTATTCGGCTTTGAACAAGGCAAAGAGCAACACCGCACAACACAATAAACCACAATGTGTCACAGGCCAACTGCACCTTTCCGCAACCACAAGCACAACGTCAGCCGGGAGCACCCCGGCCCCCTCGTCACCCTCCCCGGGAAAGGTTATCTTGGTTCCTTTTTTCCATCCCGGCTTGACCGCGACCGTCAGTTGCGTCGACGCCTCCGCCAGCTCCCCGGCCTCGTTCAGTCTCTGATATGTTGCGCAGACCAACGGTACACACACACATGTTGTGGCCTACGAAGTTTATTTCGATGCCCCGGTTACTCTGATGAGTCTGCGTTTGTCGCAGAATATTGGTGTGGTCAATCCTTTCAGGAAGCTACACCTTCGGGAACGCGCGTCGGGAGTGTTGTGTCTCGCGAGCAACGAAAACTATGAAAGACAAGCACTCTACGCCTCGACCTGCATGCGACTTTCAAGAAGGACTCGGGTAGCTTCCTACCCATCTCCTGACAGATCCATTCGGTAGGTGCACCCGCCGCCCATGCACCTGTAGCCCTTGCCTCTATGATAGGTGCTCATTGCCAAATATAGAGTAATTTAGCCCCATTTCCTCCTAGAGAATAATGTCGCGTATCTCTCGCCTTTCGCGTGACCTTGAACGCCTTGGTACAACCGTTATACAGCTCTTCTAGGGAACAGGCGAGGTCTCGGGTGACCGGGTTCGGCTTTCGGGGCCCCTGCTTCTTGAGCCTCGAGGCGAAGGGCATCGTGTCCCCGAAACCGAAGTCGACGAAGGGGTTGTGCGTCCCGAAGAAGCTCTCGAATATCTCCTGTCGTTTGGGTGCGTGTTTGGGTGCGATAATCTTTACTCTTTTGGTATTGCTGTCTCGTTGGGAACTGCCGTGGCGAATGAACACGGCAGGCGAGTAAAATTGTTCATCGAAAGAAGTTGGACTCTATTCACCAGTACCAACAGTTGAACACTTTGCCCGTGGACTAAGCCGTGGGCTTCGCAACTTCCTCCTCGGGCACTATACATAACAAAATAGAGATAGAAAAATCTGGCTCAGAACCACCTGATTCACCCATACTCTCGTGTTTAGCATATGGGTGATCGTCCAAGTTCACCCGTTGTTCACAGCCGCAAGCAATTTCCCCATTATCTATCGTTCTACGAAGGTCACGTATACAGAATGTTCGTTCTGATCACACGACGATAGCAGTGGCCTACCGCCAACCATGAAAGTTTTTCCGACGATCCCACCTGCCCGTTCTGCTTATAGGTGTAGCCCTCCGGCTTTCTCCCATCTTGTCCAGGCACCTGCCAGGGGTCGACAGTTGTTTTCCCGGTTTCAGCTTAGATGTGGGGGGATAATTTGTGGAGCGTGCACTGCGTGTTCGAGGTCGCACGCAGCGCGGGGCTGTCAACACAAGTGTACAAGATGGTGTCGTCGTATGGTACACACAATGACCTATTGTAAGCCCAAATAATAATTAGTTTGCGTTGTTTCTAATGTGTTTTTTCATTACATTCAGAGAGTACGTTTGTCATTTATGGGGCGTTCCGTATCTCTCTTGTTCACCGGCTATTAAAAGACAGCAAGCTTATGCGAAATGCCCAAGCAATCATGGGACTCTCTATCGCACTGTGTCGTATCATCCCCGCTATCCCCTCTAGACGTAGACGTCCAAGCAGCCGGTGGGAAGTAGAATGGGCGTTCCATCTCTTGTGGATACCGCAATAAAATCGTGCGAAGAACAAAGGTTTGAGCTCCGCGCTATTGACCATGCTCAGCAGTACGCCGCCTCTCGTCGACGCAAAGAACTTGACATTTTCAGAAGGCAAGTTAGAGCATGAGCGACTCTGCGGGTATGTTGTGTCGGGATGTTTCTTTCGTTTGGACTCAATTTTCCTGAGCGCCTTGTCCATTATTTGATTTTCGTGTAGCTTCTACACCACGGACCCGTGAGCTTGGGGGGCACTCACTCCCTCACGGAGGCCTTCTGCCCCGTACTGGTCGTAGATCGCCCGGTTTTTCTTGTCGCTCAGCACGTCGTAGGCCTCCCCAATGTTTTGGAAGATCTTCGACGCCTCAGTCTGCGAATTACGTGCAATAGCGTTAAAGGGGGAGCATTGACTTGTTTAAGCCGGTTGGTCGTGAAGACGTGTGTTCGTGTTGTACGTGTGTATCTGGAAACTTCGCTCAGAACAATCAACAACTTCACGGTAGTCACGTAAGCATTTGTACAATGTTGTGAATTGTATAACAAGGTATCGGAGGTTCATGGCTGTGAAATCGTTCAGTGGTCCGCCCTTCGAACTAACTTAATCGGTACCCTGTACGGCCTGATGCTCGTGTCAATTTTTTTACCTTCGAAACGTTGCTTCAACGGTCTTACCGTGTTGCTCTTGTTCTTGTCAGGATGCCACTTCATGGCCAGCTTACGATATCTAGGTACATCACGAAGCGCGGACGATGGGAAGTCGAGACCAGAATATTACCAACTGAAGACACCAACTTTACCGGCACAGCATTTGTAGGTACAGGCAACCGTGTTCAACCGCCCTTCGTTCGCTGTGGTTTGTTGTTTGGAATTCATGAAACATGTCTAACGTCGTTGCATAGGCATATGGCGATTGGTCGCTTTTCCCTTTATTTCCTTCGCTGCTCATTTATCTGCAAGCACTGCGGTGCAACAGTCTAACGTGCAGCCGGCGAGGCGTCGGTTGCGATAACAAATAACTCTCAATCCGCGGTCAAACAGCGCACGACTGCGATCACGGCTCCATCGCCTCTACGCTTCCAAGCACTTGCACGCCCGCACTCTCATCCAATCGCGGGGGAAAATCGAATTACTTGCACTCGATTGAGATAGAGGCACGGATATGGGCGGGCGCGTTGTGTGACTGACGCGCGTACTCACGCTTTCTTGATTTCAGCATCTGAAGCTGCACGCTGGACTCCGAGAGTCTCATAGTAGTCCACCGGCTGGCTAGACGAAGGCATGGCGAATCTGAAATAGCTAGACCAGCCTACAGAGACGATCTACGCGAGAGATGGCCGCTATGAGAGGACTGCCAGGTGAAGTCGTTCTGTATCCAGATCCTACGGAGCAGGATGGATAAGCTTTGACGGTTTCATTACCAAAATGCGGCGCAATTCCATGTTCCGCTCTGCGTGGCCCCCTGCAATTGCCAATCCCGCCGCACCTGCGGTACCACATACCCACATACATACCCACCTCACCTTGGGCTAGCAGGAATGCAGGAATGCCTACACATATCCCTGCCGTCTGCACACTGCCTCCCTACCTCCTTCCCGTCTCTCCTCGCCACCCATACACCATTAGAGAGCGACGGAGCATACTGCCTTTGGTTTTGGTGACACATGTGCTGCTTCTCGTCGTAGCCCGCAAGGATTCAAACGGCTTCGTCGCCTTCGGTGCAGTACGGTGTAGCCGGGACTGCCCCACAACTCGTCAAAAGCATGCGGTGCTCTACACCAGCAGCGGACTTGCAATGTCCCAGAAGAGGCGGTGGGGGAGGACGGCAGTACAGACTAGCAGCTGCTGACCCATCCCCAATCCGACAACTCGACACAGCTGAGTTGCAGCTGCTTGAGCTGCAGCAAGCGCCACACCTTGAAGGCCTAGCCTGCACCTGCCATGATTTTGCCCCGAAGGTTCTGCTGACACACATGTGTTGTTCATCGTACCTCTGTCGTCAACCCCACCTTCGCGGACCGCAGGACTGCTTCGCGGCCGAAGTGCAACCTATGTAGCAGGTGCAGCGACAGCATCTGCGTCACTAGATGTCGGCATCGACCACGCCAACAATCTTGTTGGAGGCGGTAGCTACTGGAGATTCGCTATCGATGGCGGGCGAAAGAAAAGCTATGCTCTACGCTCGGCCGCAGCAGCACAGCAGCAGGCAACTTCGGCGAAGTGCACGCCGGTGTCATGATGCAACGGCAGCATCCACCACGGAAGGTGGTGGCACCGGTAGCAGTAGCAGCAGTGGCAGCAGCAGTGGCACCAGTAGCACCAGTAGTAGAAGCAGTAGCAGCAGCAGCACAACAAAAGGAGAAGCGGCATCGCCAGATGCTTTTGCGCCCCCACGAGACGGAGGGGGCATCCTCTCTTCCTTGCCCGACGTATCTGCAGTTCAGTAGTCCCGATCTACATATATATATAACACGGAGTACACGCGTAGGAGTATGTCCGCGGGTGGCCTTATTATGTAGATGTCGTAGCTTCATGTGTGTGTGTGTTTGATCATGGTACGTAGTCGGATATTTGTTGTGATCATAAAGAAGAGCCGGTCTCCCCGGTATCCTCGACAACCTTCTACAGTGGCCAAGGGCAGGGATTCGAATCCCGGCGTAAGCGAGCCATTCTTGCAAAGTGAGTTGTTCTCTCGCTTCCATTTCCTGATCAGGGTGCAAAACGTTACATAAGTCGTGTTTGCGCATAGGGGAAGAGAATGCTGCACTCATTCTCGCATTAAAAATCGAGAGCAAAGTATTGCAGGAGCGCAGGAGGAGTGGGTACGGGGCCTCAGGGAGAGGAACCCTTCTGTGTGACCATGGGTTGGAGTACACGGCACAAGTGCAGCGAGCGCTGATTTGAAGTGAAGAAAAGAAAACAAAGCAATTGCACATTGGGGTTTCAGCCAGGACACTCCCGAAAAAAGCAATAAAGAAGCAAGCCTTGTTGATAGATATACTTGTAGCAATGCCAAGTGGTTGTAGGATTGTGTGGTACGTGGAATGTATTTCCAGGGTGTGCAAGGTACCCCTGTTGTATACTGCGTCGCCCCCTCATGGTGGTGCGTGCACGCGTGCGTGCAGTTCATGTCTGTCCATGTGTTCATGTGTTCATGTGTTCATGTGTTCATGTGTTCATGTGAGTCCATGTTTTTCATGTGAAGAAGAAGTCTATACAACAAACCCAGCACATCTTTCCTCCTTGGCGCGAGTTCGCCGAGTTGCCGACACCCTATTCAACACACGTCTTGCGACAAGCTACCCCCAGCTCGGATCATCCTAACACGCTAGCGTGTGATATCACACGGGATCCCGAGGTGAGGTTAGCTTAAAAGGGTTCGGCTAGAGAAGTAGATCATGGAAGCCCTCGACCTCAGCAGCTTAACTGAAGAGGACCGCCAAGCATTATCGGCGCACATCAAAGAGGAAGTGGAGAAGGTAGTACAAGAAAAAATCAAGTTTACCGAAGAGAAGCGTCCCGCATCAGAGAGCGTGGACAAGCCCCCCGATGGAGGCGATCCCCGGCATGCTCGGCCGGCTGGAACAGCGTTAGACCCGCAACCTGAAGACCAGCCACGATCGTTGGAGGACCGTCTCGTTGAGTCCTTCGCGCGGGCAATGCGGAGGACCAACACCCCGGGGGAGGAAACCAGGGAAGTCTTTCCCCCTAAGGACACCATCCGTGTCAGTCCTGTATGTAATACATGTAGCCCCATTTACGGGTGTGTCTGATTCTAGTGGCGATGTCCAGGTTGGAGTACAGGTTTTTGAGAGCCAATTTCGAATGTTGTTGTAACACTGGAGATGCCGAGCAGCAACACCATCAGCATGCGCCTACTAAGGTCGTAGATCCGCTCAGGCACGTGATGATCTGCTCACCGTTTTACGTCTGAAGTGGTTTTGGTATGTGCTTGCATGCTTGTCTTCGTCGATTTCGTTTGGGTGTGCTCCGATAAACCTACAGCACACCTTGTTGAGTTCTGCATACATACGCGTCATCATCATGCACATGTTTTTCCTGAAAGGTACAGCAGTAGACCCCATCAAAGGGCGTTCTATTCTTGATAAGGTTGCCAGTGATCCACACAAAACTGCGAGGTTAAATGGATATTGAGTCACGTAAGGTTGCCAGTCACCCACACAAAACTGCGAGGTTAAATTGATATTGCGTCACGTAAGGTTGCCAGTCACCCACACAAAACTGCGAGGTTAAATGGATATTGCGTCACGTAAGGTTGCCAGCCACCCACAAAACTGCGAGGTTGTATGGCTACTACGCCACGTAAGGTTGCCAGTCACCCACAGAAACTGAAAGATTAGATGAGAGTGTCAGCGAATCCTAACCAAGCTGCTGCAATATACCTTCTTGAGTGCTTTGAAGTTGATGGGAATATTTTGTCCCTCTTGTGTTAAAATACAGAGATTGATCTCCGACTCATTATTTTTGCGTTGACGTCGATAACGGGATATGCGAAGGCGTCATGAATCTTTGCACCCTCTACCGACAATAAGTTGCGTGTTATGAACAGGAGTCTGTTGCATGTCCAGCGGTAGGAGTTGTAGGGGGATACACTTGGAAATTTGGTCAGGGGTCTGTGTAACCGACAGGACTACATGGAGATGATCTCCATTTCGTACCAGAACACTGTATGCACGAAAGCAGCGGAGTGGTTGCACACCAGTAAGAAGATGTGTTGGGTTGTTGATCAGAAACACAGCTGTGTAAGCTCTACCATGGATCCAACATTGTTGTTTGCGTGACCGAGGAATAATTAACCTTGTCAGACAAATCGCAAGAAAGGTTGTGTCACTTTTACGAAAGAGGAGTAATTAACCTCAGTCGTAGATTGGCGTTCGATTTGTTAGGTAACCATGATGTCGTACAGAATGCGAAAGACATCGATCACTGCTGCGCAGAACAGGGGGCGTATTGCAAGCTATTCTCCCCAGCAGTGCCACGTGCTGAATTGACGCTTTGGGTGACTGATTTTGCCTTTACCTTTCCCTTTCGGATGCGCCATCTCCCCTGCACTGCCGAGTCAATCCCTCCGGAGAGACAGCTGCACACACCCCAACCAGGCGGATACGTGGCACCTGATGACCCGAGCCGCGGCGATGCTAGCAGAAAAGGGTGGCCGCGGCAGAGGCGAGGGTGGCTACCGCGGGGAAGAAGCGGTGGCAGGAGGGATGGATGAAAGCGCTGGGGTCGATGGGCCGGAAAAAAATACTTCATGTGACAAATGGTGTGACTTTCCTCATTTGGTGTTCTCATTGTTTTGGCTTTGGTTTGTGTTGCTTCGGCTTTGTGTTTGGTCTTTTTGAGTACGAGGTCGAGCCTGAACGAGTAGGATTTTATTTTCGGGGTTTTCACAGGATGTTTGGTTGTGAACAGCGATCACAACCTGAGGGAGCAGGTGGTAGAGGAGATGTTATTCTTGGAGTATTGGGATGCAGGGACTTTGAAGACGTCGAAGCAGACGTACGCTCAAGAGTTGGGGATGGAGTTTGGGGTAGAGTACGGGATGCAGGGACTTTGAAGACGTCGAAGCAGACGTACGCTGAAGAGTTGGGGATGGAGTTTGGGGTAGAGTACGGGAAGGAAATTCCTCTTCCTGTAGGGTTGAAGCTTTCAGAGTTTGACCAAGATGAATAAGTGGTATCAAGGCCTTTTCGTGAGCTGATAGGATCATTGATGTGGCTGGCAACGCAAACGAGGCCAGATATCGCGAACGCAGTGAGAGCGTTAGCACGGTACTGTGCCTCTCCCAAAGAGATTCATTGGAGAGCAGGTCTTGGTATTTTGGGGTATGTGGTAAGGACTAGTGACTTGGGTATTACATTCAGGAGGGGTAGTGTAGCAGGGTTGAGCATGGAGGTGTTCGCAGACGCAGACTATGCAAGTAAGGCTGCCGATAGGAGATCTGTGTCAGGAGGGTTGGTGATGTGTGGGGGGGGATGTATTTCTTGGTTTTCAAGGACGCAGAAGTGCGTTACGTTGAGCACGACAGAGGCGGAGTATGTCTCTCTTGCGGATGTGATGAAGGAAGTGTTGTTTCTGAGGCAAGTACGGCGTTTCATGTTGCCAGAAGCAGGTATGCCGTGTGTTCCGGTGTTCGAGGATAACCAGGGGGCTATTCAGTTGGCGCAGAACCCGATTAGCAACAGTAACTCGAAGCACATCGACGTAAGGCACCACTTTATCAGGGATTTGGTATGCAGGAAGGAGATTTCGATTTTTCACG